TGCCTCTGCCTTTCAGATGAAGACTTCCAAGCACGGAAGCAGCAGCTCCGGGAGGAGGAGGAGACGCTGAAGGAAGGGCAGTAAACGGTGAGAGGCTCCGGGGGACTTACACTTCCCGGTGAGCATGTAAATGGCCCCGTCCATCTGTCTGTCTTGGCTCGAGGAGGGAGCCGGGTGCTCTGGGTCAGGTCCAGAGCATGCCTGGTTGGGGGCAAGTCCTGTTGCAGGTGCCATGGCCAGTAAGAGCCCCGGGTGCTGCAATGGGTCAGTGCTGGTGCTGGCCATGGTGCAGCTGGGGCTGAGCACGCGCCGTTCTCCTTCCCTCCCCTTCTCCTCCCCTCCAGGTCCCAGTGCTGGGGTTTATTGCTGGCACAGAACGTGCACGGGGCTTCATCAGAAGATGGCTGAAAAAGGAAAAAAAACCACCCAACAAATAACCCAGTTTTTTGGCTGCTCCCCCTCTGCTGTTGTACTCCTCTGAAGTACAAGTATTGAAGTGAGGCACAATGTTTTCTCACCAGCGGTTTGAAAACAACTTCTCCTCTCTAGCAAATCAGCCAAAATGGAAAAAAAAAATAAAGGCAAAAAAAAAAAAAAAAGGCAGCAGCTGCTGTGAGCTGCTGTGGAGGAGCCAGTGGGGCTCAGACTTGGGAGGAGCAGCGTCCCGCCTGCTCTCTCAGTCCGAGTGGTGTTGCAGGAGGAATGAAAATCAGTTGTACTAACGAGGATGCACTCACACGTGGGATCTGCTTGGCCAGAGCGCTCCTGAACATATCTCTGTAGCGACCTGATGTAACTTTACTCTGCACACACAGGAACAAAACAAAACAAAACACGTGAGAAAGAACCTAACAGCTGTTGTCTACTATTGCTAGGAGTAATGAGCAGAGTTTCAGATCAGGTAATAGTCAAATAATATAAATTGTTTATAAAAGGAAAGGCCTTCTTTTCCTAGGCGTTTCACTTTGAATTAAACTTTTGCCTTCGGCATTGCTAAAACTGCCTTGAAGTCTGGACGCTTTGTGGGCCGTGGCGTGGCTGTGGCTCACCTGGTGCC